CGGCTTCCAGAACTGCAGGGAACGTGCTTCTGTTAAGTCACATGTTTGTGGTAACTTGTTACAGCAGCCACAGGGAACGTATACATACTTGGTGTCGAAGTTAAAATGCATCCTGTCACCCCTCTACCTTTAAAGAATGACGAGCCCCTCAACATGGCCTACGAAACCGTGACTATGGGATCTGTCACCCACCTGGAGAATTTGGGGATTGAAAGAGGGTGCTGACCTCTGCCCATCCCTAGCTCTACCCAGCACGTTCTTTCCTCTCCCTTCACGCAGTCCCCAAATCCACAGGGCTCTCTCCCCAACCTTCCTGGCCACACTGGCCACGTGAGTCCCCAGTGTCCGTTCTCCCAGGCTCTTTGCACACTTCCAGCCAGCCCACCCAGCAACGCCAACCCATCCTTCAGACAAGGGAAGTCTCCCCAGCTACTCTCAGTCAACTGCCAAAGTATCTGCATCCAGAGACTCACTCCATCCTCCAAAGCACAGGCCACAATGCTAAGTTTGCATTTCTTCTTTGTAATTTAAATGTTTCTCAATCTCTCCTATACACAGCAAGTTCTCTGGAAATTGTAACTATAAAACCTGGGTTTTCCCTCACTACTGCACTCCCTGTGCCTAGCAAGGTATCATTGGTGCTCAGAAGGCAGTTACTGTTATGAAATAGTCAGGGGGAGGCAACGAAGAAAGAGAGGACTGAGGAATCTGCAGCTGCTCAGGTCTGAGCTTACAGCGATGAAGCAAGGTGTCAGGCACTTTGACATCTAAGCTCTGTGTTCACTGAAGGTGCATGGCCTTTGATATTTGTTAAATGAATGCATGGATGGAATGATGAATGGATGAATGAAATGATAGATGGATAGATGGAAGGATGGGTAGATAGAAGGATGGATGAGGGATCAATTAATAGATGGAGGAACAGATGAATAGGAGGATGGGTGGATGGATGGATGGATGGACTGGTAGATGGATGGTTGGATGATGGATAGACGAATGGATGGATCGATGGATGGATGGATGGACAGATGGATGGACTGGAAGGATGGATAGGTGGGTGGATGGATGGACAGATGGACACAGAGATGGATGGATGGATGGACAGACTCATAGATGGATAGGTGAATGATAGATGGATGGATAGATTGACTGGTAGATGGATGGTGGATGATGGATGGATGGATGATGGACTGGTGGATGGATGGGTAGATGATGGATGGATGGATGGACAGACTGGTAGATGGATGGGTAGATGATGGATGGATGGATGGACTGGTAGATAGAAGGGTAGATGGAATGATGAGTAAATGCATAGGTGGACAGATAGACAATGCCTGGATTAACAGAAACATCGATAGATAAATTCAAAGTATTGGGTAGCATAGCTTTTATAATAAAATATTTTTTGAAATTTGTGTTGTTTATTCATTTTTTCTTGGCTGTTAGAACTAAGTTAAACAGATTCTCAAACTCTATGCATGAATTTGTAATAAAATCATATTTTAACTCTGTAATTCAGACAAAACAAAACTTAGTGGGCTCTTCATTCTTCGGACTTTTAATTTGACAGAATTTGAATAGAAGCAAAAAGTCACTCACTCTCCTCTCCCTCCCCACTAACTGGTTCCCTTCTGATATTCTTTCTTCTCCCAAAAAGTCCTTGACCCCTAAAGAAGTTATCACTGTACTCTGAAGCTCTCTTTGGTTTGCAGTTTCCTCAAATAAGGAGTGGTGTTCTCCTACCCAAAAGCTTCACTCTGACCCAGTTAACACCCTAGTGTCATCAAATTGTGTCAAATGAAATTTCATGACGCAGATATGATTTATAAGCTCAGGGACAGTTCAGTTCATTTCTTAATATATTCATATCACCTCTCCTCTAAGATTCTCTGATCACCTGAAAGTTCTCACCCAACTGGAAATCAAGAATGGATTTTATTTAACAGGATTTTAATTGGAAGTAAACAGACACACACACACACACACACACACACACACACACACACACACACACACAATGCAAAGTGCCTAATTTGTCTGGAGCTGATTGAAAAAGAATATGATCAAGTATTAAACATCCGTTTCAGCATATTATTAGAGGTCAGAAGCTCTGCATATAGAAGCATCTTCAGGAAGGCTCTCTAAGAAACCCACTGCCTGGGCTACTGGCTGTACTCAGCTGGAAGCAGGCAGAGCATGTGCCCAGCACCACCCTAGATACGGGGACCAGGACACTGCCACAGTCTGCTCGCAATGTCACCGGTCTCTCAGCATTTGCTTCTTTCTTACCAGCATGTGCAAGGGAACATAACTGGAAAGGATGCACGCAGCTGAGGATTGTAATGAGCAACCTAAACACAGCAACCCTCTTGACTTGGTATTTAAAAATCACCTTGCCCTCTGCTCATCTCCTCACTAATTTTTCTTCTCAGCCCACCCTCATACAACTGCTCCTCTCACAAAGTTCATAGTAATTAAAACTCATCTGCAGGCTGGCACCATTGCCAACTACATCAAGCTACTGGCAAAGCTAGACCTTAAATATTAAAGGCCATTCTCCAGGAAAGTTAGGGGCCACGGGACAAGGTCACTGGGGAACTCTCTGTGCCATACCATACTTCCTAGGTCCCAGGGGCATAGAACTACAAGCAATAACATTTTATTTTTATTTGTTTTTTAAAATTATCCATAAGAGGATGGGTTTGTTCTATGATGATCATTTTCTGCTCATAAAAAGTAAACATGTAAGGTTCATGCATATGAACCTGGTATTCAAATGTGCATTTGGTTTCGTTCAAAAATTCCTATTTGAGATACGGTAAAAATAATATATGGAAACAGATAATACTTGATAATATTCTTTTTCAATCAGCCCAGACAAATACAAATGAGGGACTTTGTGTGTGTGTGTGTGTGTGTGTGTGTGTGTGTGTGTTTACTTCCCATTAAAATCCTTTTAAATATAGTCTATACTTGATTTCAAGCTGGGTTAGAACTTTCAAGTGATCAGAGACTATTAGAGGGAGGTGACACGAATACATTCGGAAAAGAATGGCCCTGTCCCTGAATTTATAAATCATATCTGCATCATAAAATTCCGTTTTATACAATTTGATAATAGGGATGTTAATTTTTTCTCATTCTTTGACATAGTGTGACTAACCCCTGAGTCATCTACCATGTGCTCAGTACTCTGCTAATTGTACAAAGTCTCCACACAAAACCGATTTACTTTTGAACTGTCTGGCTGAGTTCTTTAAGTTCAACACACAAACTATATCACGTGCTAGGCTCATCGTATCATTAAACGTGCTAATTTTTGGCCACCTAGTCAAGAGGCTTCCACATCACAGAGTACGTCATTTAAGGACATTTTCAGTGTTCCCAGTTGGGAAAGTTCACAAGCGTCAGGGGAAATATATACAGTTCTCTCCAGTAAGGCTCAGTCTAATAAAGAAACAGTAGCAGACCCATGTACATGTAAGTGAGAAGACACAACAGTTAGGTCATATTTCCAAAGCTATTCTGTACCTTTCTTAATGAAACCTTATTTTATTAGGTTATTGCAGCCTAAACACAAAGAAATCTATCCCTATTATAACACCAAGCGACAAGCAACAGCGACAAAATGCCTGGCTGCTGTTGCTGTGGATTTTGGCTTTTTGAACCTCACCTCTGCCTGAGTCAGATTCACTGAATTCAGCAACCTTTTCTTTGGTTTCCTGTGCACAGTATAAATCCAGAAAGCTCTGATCCCAGGGATCATTCTAACTCATTATTAGGAGACATGAGCCCATTTCAAACACACTTCAAAGAGAGCGAAGCAGGGGGAACGTAAATTCCTCTTTCTAAATCGAACCAGCATAGACACCCAGCAAGTAAACTGTCTTCATCTATTATCAGATCCAAAACAACATAACCTCAGTGATTCTGGAAGAACTCAAAGAACAGACAATTCATGTCATTAAAAGACTTTGTGCATGATAATTCGCTTTGAAGTTTCTGAGAGAGATCTCATCTCAAAAATCTTTGCAGAAAAATATGGGTATTACGGGGCTCTTGTAGCACATATTAGAGACTGCGGGGATGCTTCACTTTCCTCCCAGCGTGTTCCTCTGCAGGAAAGGGGCACGGGGTGGGGGAACCACACGCAAACAGCCCAGAGCAATCATGAGAAAGAATCTCCTGCACAAATCACACAAATTCTCTTCAAGGAAGAATGACTGCCCAGAGCTTCCAAACTGCTCTTTCCATGACGGACAGGGATGCTGGCAGAAGGGAAGAGAAAGCTTTGAGGAATTCCTGCCTTTACACATGGCTTCAAGTCAGGAACCCGCTGGGATAACTCGGGTCACAAGTTGTAGCTGAAACTCCACAGCGGGGCCGCTGCTCCCAGCACCCTAAGGAAGGGTGAGCGCCAGACCCTGGGCCAAAACCTTCACAGCAGCTGACCTGGAGAAACCCAGGCCCCTTCTTCAGAGCTACCCCCCAGGCTATATTTTTGGCAGCCTGTAATAACTAAACAGTATTCCCTTACAACAAGGAGCCCTCCAAAATTATTTCCAAGTAGGTCAGTGCCAGCAGGGAAAGTCAATCCCAAATTCCAGAAATCTTCCTGGTGATCCCGATCCCTTCCCCTGACAACAGGCTCAGCCCTCCAGAGGCCACCTTTCCTCTCAAGGGTTCCCGGGTCCCCTCCTTGTGCAGAAAAGGTTTTCAGGAAACAACCTTCCCTTCCTTTCGGCTCCTGGGCAGTCTCCCCTACTGCCTCTCTCCCAAGGGCTCCAGGACACGCACCTTCCGCCAAGGGGCGGCGGAGGAGCTTGGCTGCTGCACGCGCGCAGGTTCACACACGCGCGCACACACACACGCGCGCGCGCGCGCACACACACACACACACACACGCCCTCGCTCCCGGCCGCCCCCATCCTCCGCACACTCCCACACACTCACTCCAGGTGAAGTTAGTCCCCCGGCCCGGGTGGCCGCGGCGTCCTCACCTTTGGAGAACAGGGCGGCCAGGCTGATGAGCACAGGCGACCAGTGGTGCCACAGCGTCCCCATCTCAGACGGGCACATCCTGAGACCCGGAGCGCAGATCCTCCGCTGCCCGGCACCGTCCAGGCGAAGAAGAGACTGTCTCAGTCTTTAGAGGCTGGGAGCCGGGCCGGCGGCCAGGGAGCGCCCGGCTAGGGGCCAGAGCATCCCGGGCGCCCTGCGCCCTTCTCCCGCCAGTCCATGGCCTGGCCGAGAGGCGACGACCGCGCGCGGGCTCCTGAGTTGCTCTCCGGCGTCCACCACGCGCGCAGGCAAACCCCACCTCCCTTCTTCGCCCCCAGCAGGATTATTTTTTAATCCACAAGGGGTAATTCCTTTCCTGTTTACCCGAGCGAAGAGTGGCCAAGGAGGCCCAGGCAGGGGCGCCTCCAGCGCAGGGCTCTGGCGGCTCCGGGGCTGGCTAGCGCGCGGCGCCGGGGTGGCGGGGCTGCGGCGCCGAACCCCCCGGGCGGGTGGCCGGGCACGCGGGGCGGCCCGGGGCGCCCTGGCCCGCAGCCCCCATCCCGGGCCGGCCGCTGCGCCTTGGGGCTCGGGCGCGCGCGCGCTCCGGCACCCAAAGTTTGGCGGGTGCGGCTGCTCCCCGGCCGCCGCCTCGGCCCGCCCGGCCCCGGGCCCGGCTGGGGCTCGCGGGGCTCTACGCGCGCCGAGCGCACAGCCGGCTCCGGAGACGCGGGGCTCCCCCCTGCGCCCGGGGGAGGCGGGCCAGAGGTGCGCGGAGGAGGGCCCGCCGGCGAGGGGACGCGGCCGAGCGCCGCCGCTGCTGCCTGCCAGCTTGCGCGGGGGCTCCGCGCCGCGGGGACCGCATCCAGAACGCAGGCGCTCGCCACCCTGCCCGGAGCGGGCTCCGGCCTTCGCCTTAAAGATTTGTCTGTTTTTAAAAAGCCCCACCCTTTCGGAGTGACAGCTGTGAGCCCCAATCCGCAGAGTACATCCCACCTCCCTGGCCGCTCCACGCCCAGCCTCCCCCCACCCTCCCTGCGAGTGCGGACGCGCGTTGGCGGGCGAGGGCTCCCAGCGCAGGGGCGCCCCGAGGACGGAGCCACCCACTCTCCCAACAGGTGTCCAGGCCACCGGCCTCCCCTCGTCAGCGAAGCCTCAAGCCCAGGGACGGTCCTCCAGACCGGGGGCACCTGAGGCTCTTCGCCAGGGAGGGCGCACCGGGAAGGCTAGAGAGGGGCCCTCGCCCCGCCCTGGGCATCTCCGGGGCAGCGGAGTGAGGAAGCTTCTGACACACCACGCTGAGGTCATGCGGGACCCAAGCTCCGTCCCAGAAGGATCCCGCAAGTTAGTGTCCCTAAAAACATATCATGCACGTGTACTTGTTCCAGGGCCTACTGGGAACAGGAAACGGATCCCTTAGGAGACAACATTCCCTTGAGAGGATAAAGGACAGGGTTCTCATACCTTCCCGAATCACCGACTAAGACATACCCACACCAAGCTCACTAAGCACCGTCCTGTGATTTTCAGTCCAAGGACTGCTTTGCTCCACAGCAGTCTTTAAATTAACCCCATCAAAACTCAGGAAAAGCATCCACAATTTTTAAGGAATATTGTAAACCAACAAGCACCGAATAAAATGAGGTGTATTCACCTCAGTAGATAAAAATGGGTCGTTATCATCTGGCTGAGGGGGCAATGGACTTTTTTTATCCTGTATGCCTGTAGTTGCAGAAATATACCAATGCTTTAAGAGTTTTTAGCTTTTAAAGTTTCAAGGAAGATCAGAAAAGCAACTGCTGTTCTATAGAAGATTGTCTTTCTGGGTTCGTGCCCCTTGAGGTGTGCCCGACTCTTTTATTCTATATCTGCTTATCTGAATAAATGTCTGTCTTTGTGTTTTTCTTTTGCTTATTTCTTAAACTTGTGACATTTTCTCTTTGTATTGCTCTCCTATAAAATTACAAAGAGTTGATGCTGCAAAGAGCCTAAGAGATTGTCTCTTACACTGTTTCTGAAGTTTGAGCCAGCAGGAGTGTCACGGGGAAAACGTGCTGGACCAGGATTGCTGGGCCCACCCCAGAGCTAATGCAGCTGGTCAAGGTGGGACTTCCACCTCCAGGTCTAACAAGTTCCAGGTGATGCTGATGCTGCCGGCCTGCGGAACACCTGCCGCGACCATCACTCTCCTTTCTCCTCCACCTGAGTGATGAGAGCGTTCTGGGCGTTCATCTCGTGGACACCTTCACCTGATGTCTGAGTGTCCGAATTGATGCCCGCACCAAATGCATAAACCAGGTTCCACCTTTAACGCTGCAGTGCCTCCAAGTGTGTTTGTAAATCGTCTATTTGTGACAATGAGTCTATTTGTAAAACATGTCTCAGATGTACTGACTAGAAACAAGTGGTCCCTATTCTTTATTAAAAACAATCATTCCACATTCTTCTAAATGAAACTGAGTTTTTTTTCCTGAATTGCAATCATCAAATAACTTCTCTTTTTGCGACTGCAAAAGGTTTCTCTATCTGTGGTGTGAAGACAAAAGGTGACTGTCGAGTTCCAGCTGCTGCCTAAAATGTTAAATGGTTTCTTCATTCTTCGTACTTGGCTAAACAAAAGGTTTTTTGACTCTTTGGTATGAAGCCGTTTTTGGAAAGCTGCAACTTCAGATACCTGATCAGCGGCTAAAATAAGATACAAGAATGGCTTCTTCCTTTTTCTCTCTCCAGTGTGCCGTTCTCCCTGGTACATCTAATCTTCTTTGGGTAATTAGCACAGCTAATTGTGAGGAAGCAAAACTTAGACTTGGAGATGGATGCTGAAGGCTCTAGGTCCCTAACTCCAGCCCAGGCCCCGGGACAACTCCCCGTCAGAACTGCCTTCCTTGTCTCTCTCAAGTTAATTGTGAGACGAAATCCGCTTTCCTTCAAGAATATGTGTTTCATCTGTGGGGCCATAAATCAATTTATAAGCCTAATTTTGTCTGTAATTAAATAGCACTAATTGTTCATGCTGTGTGGATGAAGCTTTTACACTAAGCAGTTTTTGTTGTTTTTCAATAAAACAAAAACATTCCCCATAGCAGTTTTTAAGAAATGCAACATTGTTTGAGAGCTGATAAAGGCAGAAAGGAGCTGGAATACAAGTACTGAACGCGCTTATGCCATTGGTGGATGAGAGGGTGCTTTCAAGTCCTCTAAAGACAGGGCATCCTGTAAAACTGAAACCATTCCCTTCCAATCCTTCTGATTGCATCCAAGAGAAAGGCCCAGGCCTGAGCTACTCTGGAACAACCTTTTAGTAATTGCAAATGTCCATGTTTTTTAAATCAAAGGGAAGCGCTTTCTACACAGTGGCAACATCTGGCTCAAGTCATTAACATCGTTTTGTTATGATTTTTATTATCATTTTGTTTTCTCTCCTTTTACTTTAGTCATACATTTTGTTTGAAAAACATCAAATTATATATGTTTATGAAGATGGGGAATTAGTAATGGATTTGGCAATCACTACTGGTAACAGGGGCAGGCACCATCTTCTCGCCATGACAATACTCAGGAAGATGGGGAGAAATGACGCTCGGGAAACCTTCGTGTGAAATGAGAGCTACCAGATCAATCCCTCCTGAAGATGCAGAAGAGACTTTTTTAAACTGCCTTTCTTCCCAGGTTTCCAAAATTTATGAAATGGCTGGGAGATAGAAAGGTCTGGTGGAATCAGCTGTCTCTTTCAAGGGGCGGGAAAGCCTTCTGATTTCGAGCGCACTGTAAGTACTGTGAGCGTTGCACACCCTTCCTGGTAAGGCCAGCGGGAGATCATCCTTCCAGAAGGAGCACCTCTGCAGAATCCATGCTGTGCCTTTGAGGATGGTGACGTGTTCGCCAAGGCCTGCCATTCTCTCCTTCCCAGCACGTGGATGACTTCACTTCTCAGCCCCTTGCAGGTGACCAAATGTGAGCAGAAGTCATGAGGGTCATTTCTCTGGTGGGGCGGTGAAAGGCTCAGCTGTGATTCCTCACTCTGTACCTCCTCTGCTCTGGGAGCAGAGTGGACCCCATGTTGGAAATGGTGCAGCTGCTACAAGCTGGGCCCCCCTGCCAGCAGCCCAGCAAGTCGATGGGAGAGCAAAGCCCCCTGCCAAACCCACATTAAGAAGGATAGTAGGAGAAATTAATTTGTGTTGTGTTGAATCGTCAAACTTCTGGGTCCTTCCATGTTACTGTACTAAAACCCAGACCTACTTTTACTCTCCTCTCTCGGCCCTTCCACCTCTCTCATCTTTTCCCAAAGCTCCCCAAGCAGATGTTAACAAGTCGGAATATTGGAGATCTCCCAGGTGACCCATGGCATCTCCAGGCAACTCCTAGGTGAACCCAGCAGAGTAGCCTCTTCTGCAAAGACAAATAGGATGGTGCTACATTCCCCTTAAGTCACTGATTTATGGATCAATATGGAAAGGTCAGCAGGCCTTGAATAGTCTTCCTTGAAGTCACGTGGTGAGCTTCTTGGCACACATGGTGTCTTTGTACCTCTAGACTGATGAGTGCCTGAGTGGGCCTCAATCGGGGGCGAGGTCAAGAAGAAGCTGCCAGGCTGCCTGTGCAGCCAACCCTTTGCTAAGAAGACCCCCTGGACTGTGCGTGCATCTATGCACTGGAGCCCGTGATCCGAGCCGCTGCACGCTCCCTCACCCCGGATTCCTCCACCTGCCGGAGACACAGCCAAACCACACAGCCTGGGCTTCCTACGCTTAACTGTGGTTATGGTTATGTCAAAAAGAGTGTGGGTGGGAGGGAGGCGCCTCGCTTTCAGGGGGAGAGTTTAGGCATCTGTGAAACCCCCAAACTCCCTTCCCACCTTTTCAAGCTGAATATAAAAATTCAAGCGAGAACCCCTAAGCCTCCAGCAAAGGCAGAGTTGCAAGATGGAATGAGTCTGGTTCCTGAAATTTGGAAGGCCACTTTTTTTTTTTTTTTTTTGCGTGGAATTTTGGGTGATCAAGAAATAAGACAGCATGGTGTTAAGATATGGAGGTCTGGGGGTTTGTTTGTTAGAATGAATCATTCCACACAGTTCAGGGTGTATTGATCTCATCACTGCCAACAGAAGCAGGAGTGGGGTGCAAGCACACACCTCTATCAGCACCTGAAACTGTGGCTAAGCTTTGGCTCATTTCACATTATCGAGAGAGTCCGAAGGAGGGAGGAACCACTGACCGCCGCGCTTAATGAATGTTCGAGGTGCGTGTCCCCTCTACCAGGCACCGGCGAGGATGCAGCGGGTGCCCATAGGAGCCGGGACTTGATCTCTTGGGATCTTTCAGGTATATTGCAGAGAACAAGTAGAGAGGGTCCTCCTGGGCTGGGGCACTCTGAGGAGTGGGATTTATATGGATTCCTCCTTCTGATCAATACGAATTCATTCAGGGCTAACCGCTGGCCGGGCCCCAGAGGCTTCACAGTGAACAAGTCCATCGTGAA